ACCAACCCTAGAAAGAATACTGAAAGACAGGCAAGATGCAGGTAAAAATGACCACAATCTCCAGAACAACAGAAAAAAAAAACCCACCAGGCTGGACAAGAAACTAAATAATGGAGAAAAAGCAGGAAACCAACAACAGGAACACAAGATAGCAAAGTCAAAGCAGTATATACTAGTGATATCCATAAAAGTAAATGGGCTCAATTCACCTATCAAAAGAAACAGGTTGACAGAATACATCAAGAAATAGGATCCCAGAGTATATTGTATACAAGAAACACATCTGACTCAAAAAGAAACTCAGATTAAAAGTTAAAGCATGGAATAGAGTTTCCATGCACCAGGAACCCTGGAAAGAGCAGGGGTAGCTATTCTGTTTGCAGACAAAGTGAAGTTCAAACATATAATGATTAAAAGAGATAATGAAGGCCACTTCAAACTTTTACATGGATAACTACAAGAGGAAGAACTAACAATTATAAATATATATGCACCAAATACAGGAGGACCCAACTATGCTAGACAAATACTAATGGACATGAAAAGCTAACACACAAGAACACAATTGTAACAGGAGAACTTAACACCCCACTGTCACAAAGAGATAGATCAACTTAGACAAAAAGTCAGCAAAGAAATAACATAACTGAATCATACATGTGCACGAATAGACTTAGTGCATGTTTACAGAATCTTCCACCCAACCATATCAAAACATATATTCTTCTCAGCTGCACATGGGACATTCTACAAAATAGACCATATATTATCCCATAAAATATCTTTAAGTAAATGCAAATGGAGCGAAATTATCTCATGCATATTATGGGACCATACTGCACTAAAATTGCAAATCAATACAAAAATCCCTGAAAAACCTGCAAAAATACATGGAAATTAAATAACAATCCTGAACAACCAGTGGGTTACAGATGAAAGTAAACAAGAAATAAAACAATGTCTATAATACAATGAAAATGCATAAACAACATACCACAACCTATGGGACACAATGAAAGCACTCCTAAGTGTGAAATATATAGTAATAAGTAGTCACATCAAGAAAATGGAATGAACAGAAATAAATAACCTAATGCTATATCTCAAGCTTCTAGAAAAGGAAGAGCAAGTCAAACCCAAAGTTCATAGAATAGTGGAAATTATAAAGATTAGAGCAGAAATTAATGAAATTGAAACCAAAAAAATACAAAGAATGAATCAAAAAGCTGTTTTTTTTTGAGAAAATAAAATTGATAAACCTCTAGCCAAGCTTATCAAGAAAAAAAAAATCCACACAACGTGGACTGAAAAGAGAGAAAGTACTGTAGATCCCACAGAAATTCAAAACATCATGAACACCTACCTTGAAAATCTCTACTCACATAGGCTGCAAAATAGAGGAAATAGATTTGTAGAAATATGAACTATCAATGCTCAATCAAAAAGGTATAACAATTTTGACTAACCAAATATCGGCTACATTAATAAAAAATGTGATTAAAAACTTACCAACAATATAAGCCCATATCCTGCTGGATTCAGGGCTGAATTCCATAAGAAATTCAGAGATCTGACTGTAACACTCCTTAAACTCTCCAGTGAAATTGAAAGAGAATTAGTCCTCCCTAACTCATTCTTAGAAGCAAGTGTCATTCTCATTCCAAAGCTAGAGAGAGATCAAACCAAATAGCAGAACTATAGACTAATTTTACTAATGAACAATGATGCAAAGATTCCTGATACAATATAGGCAAATAGAATGCAACAAATCATCAAGAAGGTTATACAACATAATCAAGTAGGATTTATTCCAGGAATGCAGGGATGGTTCAACATGCACAAATCAATGAATGTGATACACCACATCAACAGAGCCAAAAATAAAAATCACCTAATCATTGCAATGCATGCATAAAAAGCTTTTGATAACATACAACACCTGTTCACGATAAAAACCCTACAGTAACTCAGAATAGACACTATGTACCTCAAAGTCTAAAGACCATTTATTGAAAACCTACAGCCAATGTTATACTATATAGACAAAAACTGAAAGCCTTCACACTAAAATCAGGAACAAGACACTGATGTCCACTGTCATCTCTCATAGTCAATAGAGTTCTGGAAATATTAGCCAGAGCAATCAGACAAGAGGGAGAAATAAAAGTAATAAAAATAGGGAAAGAAGTTAAATGATCATTATTTGCCGACAACATGATACGCTACATAGAAGACCCCAAAATCTCAATTGAAACACTACTAGAGGCAACAAAAAAATTCAGCAGCATAGCTGGATAGAAAGTCAACACTCACAAATCAATAACATCCCTGTACACACACACACACACACACACACACACACACACACACACAAAAAAAAAAAAAACTCCATGAGAGAAAAGTTATGAAAATATCAGCTTTCACAATAGCATCTAAAAAATCAAATACTTAGGAATCAACCTAACTAAAAATGTAAAACACCTGTATGCTGAAAATTATACTACTCTGAAAATGGAGATTCAATAGGATATTGGAAAATGGAAGGATATTTCTTGCTCTTGGTTAGAAAGAGCCAATATTGTGAAAATGGCCATACTTCCAAAACTGTTATACAGATTCAATGCAATCCCAATCAAAATATCATTAACATACCTTCATATCTAGATAAAGTAATTCTGAAATTCATCTAGTAACCAAAGAAATCTAGAATAACAAAAGCATTTCTGGGAAACAACAGAGAGACAAGACTGATCTCAATTCTTGACTTGAAACTATACTACAAAGCCACAATAATAAAATCAGCCTGGTACTGGCAAAGAAATAGGATCAATGGAACAGATTAGAAGATGCAAACACTACTACAGAGACACAGAGCCAACTTAAGTTTGTCAAAGGGGCTAAATATGTTCACTGGAAAAAGATAGCCTCTTTAATAAATGGTGTTAGAAAAATTGACATTACATGCTAAAGACTGAAACTAGACCCATACCTACTAAACTAGACCTATCACCATACACTAAATTGAAGTCAAAGTGTTTCAAGGATCTTAATATCAAAAAAGAAACAAAAATATACTGGAGGACATGGTAGATAGAAATCTTGGAGACATAGGAGTAGGCAGAGAATTCATTAATAAAACAATCACATAGAAAATACTTCAAAGAATCAACAACTAGGATCTCATATTACTAAAAAGTTTTTGGACTTAAACAGAAATCAAATAAAGTGAAAAAAAACCCCACAGAGTCAGAAAGAATCTGGATAGACGACAAAGGACTTGTATGCAGAACATATAAAAAATTGAAAAATGTCAAGCTCACAAATTCAAAGACCCTTTCCAAAAATGGGCATCAGATGTAAGTACACAGTTCTCAGATGAAGATATACAAATGGCAAATAAATGCATAAAGAAATGTTCACCACCATTGGTCATTTGATAAATGCAAATTAAGACAGCACTGAGATTTCAGCTTACTCTGGAAAGAATGACTGACATCAAGAAATCAACTGAAACAAATTTTGGCAGCATGAAGGGAAAAAGGAACACTTGTCCACTGTTGGTGGGAATGCAGACTGATAAAAGCACTGTGCAAATTAGTGTGGAAATTCCTCAAAAAACTAAGATTGGATGTTCCATTCAATCCAGCTATTGCCCTTCTTGGTATTTTCCCCGAAATTTTGAAAAAAATTATTTCACAGTGATATATGTGCAACACAGTTGTGATAGCTAAATCTTGGAAACAACCAAAATGCCATAAACCACAAGTGGATGAAAAAATTGTAATTTTTTCACAATGGAATACCACTCAGCTATAGAAAAGATTGAGGCCTTTATAAGTAAATGAAAGTAACTTGAGAATATCCTCTCTCATTGTCTCTCTAGTGTAAAAAAACAATAAAAACTGACAAAGAATTGGGATCAAAAAATATAGTATGTATTGTAAAAGTGAAAGCAAAGAAACGGGCTCTACATGATATAATGATACATATAGTGTGTAAGATAGATGACCATATTACTAAATTTCTGTTAGATCACTGAGCAGAAGGGTTTGCACGTCAATGATTCAGTATTTAGCTACTTTTTATGCTTTGTTTTTGTAACTTTAACAACTGATTTTAAGATGACAATATGTAATGTATCAACTAGTAATTTTAGGAGTTAATTTTTTTTGAATTCTATATTCTACACTTTTTTGCTTTTTTGTATTTTGTTTCTTTTAATTTTATTTTCTTTCTTTAAATTTAAAAAATTTAAAAAAAAATAAAAAGAAATGGATGTGGAGTTTTGTGTCCTTGATGCCTTGCAGCAGGACCTGCTCATGCAGTGGTGGGAATCCTTGGGATCCACCTGGCTCTGGGTGGCCATAAGCTGCACTGTGGCATGACTTGTGGTATTATTCTTTACATTTATTGTTGTCATGGTCTTTGTGGGCATGAGTCGACCCTATAGGTCACTTACAATAAGCACATTTTCCCTGATCTTTGAGGTGGTGGAATGTGAGAAACCACTGCACACTGCTTCAACACCAAAAGGTATGACCCAACCGAATAGCGTGTGTACACCATGGACATAGTTATATAACCATGAGTTAACATCGACAGCCATGGATGTGCTCAAGCTGGTGACACTATGCAAGAATGTAATGCTTGATGACGGCTGATATATAGATGCTGGATAAAAAAGATGCTTGCTTACTGCTGTTGCTAATGTTGACTCAATGTGGTTTCTTCTCTCTGGGGATCTTACCCACTAAAATACCGATCACCTCCCTAACTCTGAGAAAATTTCATGCCGCAGGCAAAGGGCACTTAATGCCCCACAAAACTAAAATTTCTGAGCCTTGTTCCAAGCCATGCATCATATCCTAAAGCCAAAATCTCTGTTGGGGTACAGCTTTAGAAAGGACAACAAGTTATATACCTGTGCCATGGTGATCACTTCCTAAGCCCTGTGAAGATGGACATTTTCCCCAATTCCATTCCTCTTCTGTACCCCACAGGGCATGAAAGGTCTCAAATGTACTGACCTGGACCTGGAACTCGGCTCCCCAAGCAGCAGACATGTAGTTCTTGAACAGACTGCCCGGAACATGGTCTGAGGTGAGTCAGTCCCAGGCTGGAGGCTGAGGACAATAGTGTCTGTTGGCCTCACTCTCACACAGTGTAGCTACTTACCAGCATATCTTAGCCTCCCTTGATCCCTGAACACATGGGGACTCACTTTTCCTATGTGTCATGATGTGTTAACAACAGGCACAGCACTAATGTGTGACAGGGAGATCCCTTCCCCAGCACAAATCCTGCTGAAGGTGACTCCCTCCAAATACTCTTCAAGCCATCTGTTCTTAACATGTGGCATCATGTTGTAGTTGAGTGCCATGAGGGAGAGCACAAAACAAGGGCAGGAGCAGGTGCTATGGTACCCATAGATTTGGGCAGCCCTTCTCTGATGTGTGTGGAACCCAGTGTCTTTCAAGATATTGGGATGGCACTCTTGAATGAGCTATGGAGATCCATGCCTGGGGGTGTTGGGTCAGGGTGGCATTTGGACACGGGCAGTGTCAGGTAGCCACGTTGAGCATCATAGTGTGTGTACCACTACCACATGCCCAGGACATCCTCTCACACTGTCTTTGTCATTCCTCTACAAACCTTTGTCTACACAGGCCCCCATTGTCCACTCCAATCTTCCCTGGACCTTTGAATGGAATCACAGGAGGAGGCAGTGTATGTGTAGCTACCCAAAGTCAAGTGTCACTGTTGTCTGCTGTCACCCAAAATGTATGGTGGCTGGAGGCTGGGGATTTAGCTCAGTGGCATAAGCACCTGCCTTGCAAGTGTGCAGTCATAAGTTCGATACCTGGTACTGACAAACAAATGAAAAAGAAAAGACCAAAAAAAAGATATGGTAGGTAACAAAATCAGGTGTCCCTCAATGAGTAACTCAGGGCCTTTTTCTACTGTTATTCCATCTTTCATTCCCTCATTCCTCAGGCACCCCTACCTCCTCCTGCTAAATTCCATTCTCCTTGTAAGAGTACAAAGCTGGGCTTGTGCTATCCCTGGCTGGCCTAGGAGCTGCTTTGTGCCATCCCATTCTGTCTGAGAATCCTGTTCCCACAAGTATGGCTGATTGGTTATCACCTAGGACAAGCTGGGTCCAGCCTGTATTGCACTTGGTCCAGGGCTTAGGACTGAAGAGCCCCTAATTTTAGCTCCCAGCTCTAGAAGTTCTCCTCAGAACATCGTGCTCAGAATTGAGGTCTCAAGGTCAGTCTGGAAATCCCTATCTGTAGATCATCTAAGGAGCTGGCTTAATCTGTGGGTTACCATGTGATTCATGAATATCTGCATATGTGGGGAGACAAATGCAGATGCTTCTGTCTGGCACAATCCAAGCAGAAACAGTAACTTTGAAATGGCTCCTGTGGGATGGGCAGAATTGGATCTGGCTAGGGAACAACGGCTATGTGCACCACACATTGAAGCAGGACCCTGAGATCTGGACCACACATTGGAAGGAAGGGATATAAGGATGCCCCAGCCCAACTGTGTCTGGGGATAAATTCTTCCCAATGCATCCATCTCTGTTATCATCCATCTATGTTCTGTCCCAAACCAAATGACTGTGTTTTAAGTCCTGACAGCGTCATCACCTGCTATTTGTATGTCTCTGGGTCCTTCAAAAGTGGAGAGTACCTGGAAAGGAGATGGCCCAAGGCTCACCTGTGCATAATATGCCTCTGTACCAGTGACTGACCCTCAGGTAAGATGGTCATGGCCACTGTCATTTCTTTTTTGTCTGGTCAGCTAGTTGCCAGGTACCACTGTGTCCTCACTTTCCTGCCTGTTGGCTCCAGAGACAAACACCTAGTTTTCTGGTCCTTGTGTTCGTGAGGCTTTAGCCTAGTGTGGTAGGGTGGGGCAGGAATCTGTGTTATCAGCAATGGGGCAGCTGAGTTTTGAGTGGCCACTGAGTGGGGCAAGAACCTAATATATTTCCTCCCCCACCACATTGATGTGGGGCCTTTGTGTATAAAGCAGGGTTCATTCCAGTTAGCTGTCACTTTTTACTACATCTTTCAATCTCAAGACCATTTACTGGAAAGCTGTGTGTATGTGACACAGTATGTCACATATAAAACTATGTTGATAAAACTATGTTGAAGTCCCTGCTGAGCATCTCCACCCAGACTGCCGGGCAGCAGCTCAGCCTTTGAAATGTAGTGAGAGAGGCAGGGGAGGAAGGTGGAGGAAGACAAGAGTCTTTCTCCAAGACAGCAGTACAGAGGGGCCAGGGCACCTCCAGCTGTCCCTGTTACACCCACTTCTGAGCCTGTATCCTGAGACCAGAGAGGAGACAGCAGTTTTAATCACATTGATAGAAATCAGGGGTCTAATCAGAGTTACAAATACAGGACTTGGGAGCCAGACTGAGGGTTCCTGCAGAATATTTGCCTGTGTTTGGTTTTCACCTTCTGTCCATGACTCAGTCATCACCAGCTATTGGCAGTGTGAGTTTCATTGTCTCCCCAAGTGTGATCTGCATCTGAGGAGCTCTGGTACCCAGCACACAGTGAGTCCTCTGTGTGTCTCTTTTAGGTTGTGCATAGAGTAAAGTATAAAAGTGCATGTTCCTATGATAGGAAGATGAGCCATAGAAATTCCATTATCAAGGACATAGATTGAGGACAACTGATGCTTTGCTTTACAGATTTGCATTTGCACAAAGGAAACATTGCTGGCCAAGGAGAGCATGTCTTTCCTGTGTGAGATTTTTCATCAATAGCTCCTTTTTTTCCCCACATGTCAGAAGTGGATTTTCTTGCTTTGTGTTTTGTTTACAGATTACTGTACATTTTTTCTTACTACCTATTTACAGTGTATACTGATTATGTTGGTGTTAGGACCAGGGCACATGTGATGCATAGAATGCATATTAGGCCCTATCTTTTGCACAGTGGTACAATCCAACCACCAGTGATTGCTCTCAAAGTCTTGTGCATTGAGCATACAGCTCAGGGCCAAGACATTGCCAGCATAAGGATCTGCTTTGTTTTGATTGTCCTTTCTTCATGACAAATAAAGTGGGTAATGATGCAATAATTGGGAGCTTAGTCCAACCCTAACCCTAAGTTTAACCTACCCCTAAACATAACTCTAACCAAAGATAGTCACTACCAATATCCCTGGTCAAAGAAAACTTTATGGCTTTGATGTGGGAAATGTAATATAGGTTAAGTATGAGGACATAAAATCAGTAGTGGCTGGGATGGGGCAAGAGGAGAAAGAAAAGAAAACACCATTGTGTAAAAATTAGAAGAACATATTCTGGAAGTGGACTTGGGGAAATTTGCTCAACATTGAGAATGCACTGAATGTCAGCAAGCTGATTATTTTAAACAACACTATGATCTTAAATTTTATCTATATTTGTTCTATCATTAACGTATCTCTGGTAAATAAGTGTAGCTGTGAAAACAATAGTAAGTAAATCTGGAAGAGAGGGGAATGGCAGGTGTGGGTCAAGAGCTGCCCGCAGTTAGAGCTCTAGATATGACTCCTGAGTGGAGCCACCAGGAGGCTCACAACTTCAGCTGCTGGACAAAGGAATCCAGGTACTGGCTCTTGCTCTGGGATCACAGCTGGTTAGGGAGCTTCAGATAGAGCTGGCACAAGGTCTGCAGGTGCAACTTCTGCAAGGGCTGAGCCTGGCCCTTTAGTTGCAGGAAATGAAAAAATTGCCAACTTTCCATGGACTTCCTGGGCAAAACCCTCCCACTGCCTGTCAGAGGCAGCCATGTGCACCAACACAGCCCCAGGAAAGCCTCCTGACTGCATCTGCACACCAACTGCTGAGTGTGTCATACTCCTGAGTCACCCAGCATCTGGGCACTTTGCTGAGTTCCAAGGCCATCACTTCCCCACAACCCTACATCCTACACTCCAGAGATAGTTACCCTGTGCTTCAGTCTCTGTGGCTCCAGCTGGTCCAGGAGAAGCTCAGCCTGGGGTTCCACATGGGCATATACTTCCAATGTGGCCTCAAGCACAGAAGAACTGGGGCAGATAGGGAGCCAGCAGAGTGAGAGACCTGGGCTTTCCTCCCACAATGCCTGCACAACTCACTTGTAGAGAGGGGTTCATGGACCTCCTGCCCAGTTGATACAATGTCCAGCCCCATCCTCACCCACCCACAATTGGGCAGTGAGGGCCCAAGGAGCCCTTAGTGGCTGAAAGAAGTCTCAGTGGGAGGGAGACCTTGCTTAGTTTTATCATGCATCTACATTCTGCAGGGAATCCTGACACAGTATCTCCCTGCCCCTCCCCAGTGAAAGTCAGCTTGGAGAAGGTAGAGACTGCAATCTGCCCTGTCTTTGCACTCAAAGGCTCAGGGCTGCCACTCCATGAATATCTGAGAAGTGAGGGATCAATCAGTGTCTGTCCTGCATCTCTGCAGTCTCTAGCTCAGGCAGGGATGCATTGCCCAGTTATCTTTGCCTCTGTATAACTCCTTGTGCATGGTTTGTATCCACAACTAGGGAGGCCTGGAGACTGGAACAATGACTTTGAAGTGAGCAATATCTGTTCTGCTGCCAAGGGTTACTCTGTGGCCTCCCACAAACATTGAAACTCAAAAGGGCAGTGGTTCCACTGGCTCTGCTTACAGAATCTTGGTTAATACCCAGAAACGTGCTTCCACGCAGTGTGTCTTCATATACGATCATGGGTTGTTAACATCTATCTGCTCTTCTTATCTGTCTGACAGCCATGGACAATTTGCCACTCTCAGGATTTCCTGTCATGGAGTGACTTTCCGATCTCCTTTCTGATGAACAGAACTGCATCCACCAAGTGTTGGTCACTGGGTGGGATGGAAGATCATCCATCAGAATTATCACAGCCTCTACAGCAGATCTTCATGGGGCCAAGGCCACAGCTAACTGCTTGGCATGGAGCCCCCATTTCATCCTCAGTGACCCTAAGCTCTCAATCCACTCATTCCCGACCTGTTTGGCACTGTAAACTAGGGTTGAGTGAGGCCCTTGCATAGGGCGAGGACCTGAATTCACAGGTGACCAATTCCCACTGGGCTGCTTAGGTAAGAATTCCCCTTCTCAGATTTGGTGCCTATAGGGTGGAGAGTTTAACCCTGGAGAAGTCCAAGGAGATGAGGCTGTGCCTGGGGTATCTATCCAGAAGGCCAGCTCTTTAGGCTCCTTCAAGCTATGAGGCCCATGCTTCCTGTACAGACCTCTACCAGGCTCTCTGCTGCCTGACTTCTGAGACTGTGAGTAGACATAGAATTGGTCTCCTGCACATGGCTTCTCAGGAGGTTTTGGGGCTGAAGCAAAGCCCACACTCAAATTAGTCCGCAGAGGGTAGTGGTAATGGGCTCACAGGAGGGCCCCTGCAGAAAAGGGATTCTCTTATTAAAACTTACATTTCACAAGGGAAACTTAGAAATACTAGCCTGCTCAGATCCCCTCAATAGAGAGGTTGAATAGAAGTCTATGTATGAACAAAACCTATGAGTCCTAAGACAGCCCACCCATTTTAGGGATGAGAGAAGGAGGCTCAGTCTGGATGTCCAGGTGCAGTAATGAGGCAACTCAGAATGTTCCCAAGATTCTGATGAAAAGTCCCCAGGAAGGAATTAAGTTCCTCTTCTATAGCCATGGAAGGCTGAGCCACTGTGCCCACTGCTCTCTTCTTGTGCTCATTTAGCCCAGAGGCTCCTGCAAAAGCACCTGCAGTGCAGGAAAAATCCCATGAGACAAGTGCCAGAGAAGTGGACAGAGCGGACTGACATTTGAGGTGAGCACACATCTGGTGAGGTGATGCTGTGTAAGAGCTGGGGACAGTGGAGGAAGACATCTTGCTAGTGGTCCTTGGACACCAGGCCCAGTACAGAAAATGAGGTACAATGGTAGAATTCATTCATGATAAAAAATGAAATGATTTTGTGTCTGTTCCCTTTCTCCTCTTCCATCAATATGTGTGCAGTGACCTTGCCTGTGACAAGGTAGAGGCTTAGTAGAGAGGATATGTTAGTTGAGCAATTGCAGTCCAGATTCCTTTGGAGCAAGACAATGGGCCCAGTGTTTGACAAGCCCTGAATAGAGGCGTTGGAAGGGTTAATCAGATGCAAAGTTCCTCTTAGTCATGTGTGGGCCTCCATACATTCCTTTCTGCTCATATTCTCTGCACTGGAGCCAATACCTCCTGTTATTGTGGTCCCCATCTCTGGAGCAGGGATGTGGCACACAGGGCCCAGGGTCCACCTCCATGCCAAGGTCCTGCATGCAGCATGGTTGGGGCAGTGCCCAGCAGCCAACAGGAAGCCTGAGACTCTGAGACACCACAGGTTTCACTTTGTGAACCCAGATAACCTTATGTTCTGCAAAGACTAACAGCTCTGTCCCAGACTTCTACCCAGGAGGACAAGAGATGACTCTGGAGGCTCTGGATAAGCATCAGTGCTGCCCTTCTCCTCCTGCTAGCCCTGTCCTGGGTAGGAACATGACAGGAGCTCAGGCTCACACTTTCCAACACCTGCCCCTGCCCCAGAGCAGCTGCCCTCACTGCCTGTCCTCAGAGCCCTTACACTGATGATTTAGGATGGGAATTGTTTAGAAGAATTCACAGAGGTAGCCATGCCTTAATGTGCTGTCCTCTAGTTGGTGTCTCTGAGTGGCTGGTGGCTGAGCCTAGGGACTCCTATCCTGGGCTCCCACTTGTTTCCAGTGTCTTGGGAGTTGGGGCTCTTGGGCCCTGCCCTGTGCTGCCCTTGATTTTAGGCAGTTCCCTCTGAGCTTCCTGAAACATCTTGGCCCAGTGAACCATCCTTTCACTCATTCACATGTGGTTTTCCCATGCAGGGTCAAGACACTGGGACTTCAAAGCCTCAAAAAGCAGCACAGCATATTCACTGGTTACTCTCATGAGCCAAGTGCTGGTGAAGGTCAGCTGCCACCAGACAAAATTGCCTGGTGACCAGAAGCTTCAAAGTTCTGTTTAGACCTGTTGCCAAGGAAGTTGTGTCATGTGCTGGGGTCCATAGCTGGGCTGCCCCCTCTGATGCCTCCTTTTTTTTTTTTATTGTGGAACAAATTTATGTTCCTTAGAAATCGAAAGTGAAAAACTAGAAAGCAGAATGTGGCTTTATACTTTTCTTCACTTTGAAATATTTCATACAACAAACATCTAGATGCTTCAGAAGTGGCAGGCTGGGAGCCAAGTGCACATTTCCATCCAAAAAGTTTTTTTTCATTGAGAATTAGGCTTCACTTAGAGATCTGTCAAATTTTAGGATGAGTTTCTTTCCTTGGCTTATGTTAGTTTCATTTCAAATCCATTAGGGAGTATGGAGATGTTCCCAGAATAACCATAATAATTTTCTTTGAAGTATGTGAATGTTTCATGTTATAACCTCCTCCTGTCCAGGGGATGAGGATTCCTAAGAAGTTTTACTCTCATGTGCCTATGAGTGATTACTTATTCATCCTTAGATATTTAACTCAGCCACACACTGTAGCTCCATACTCTGACATCCAGTGGAGGGGAGAGCAGGTGGTGATTGCAAGGGGAGGCTTTCCAAGGCCATGGACATCATCACCCCATGCTGAGGAAGGACACATGCACATCACTCCTGGGGAACTTGTCTCATAGCCACTGATATCACTTCCAGTCCTCCATTCCCAAACAGACCATGGGCTTTGTGTCCCTCCTGGGTAGTTTGCCTTTCCTAGAGGTGATGGCCCTGAGGCTGATCAGGCAAAATGCTCTCTGTTTGGTCTCCTTCAAGCAGTGTCTCCATCCTGGTCTCCCCAGTGTGCTGCCACCACATGCCATTGCAGGGCTGAACAAAACCAGCTGTCACTTGTTCAAGCATCTGTCACCCATCTGCCGATGTCCATTTCTTCTGTTTCTGTCTCAACCCTTGAAAGCAAGCTGCCACAGCCAATCTTATACATGAGCTTGAGTGGATGCAGTCTTTCATTTTAAAGAAAAACAACTTAAATGTGAAATTAATGGATTATATTACTAGTTTATGGCTAACTAGAAATTAAAGGATTATATTACTAGTTTATGGCTAACTAGAAATTCTTAAAGTATCTTTGGAAGCAGTTGTTTAAAGCAGAGTTAGGTGGTTCCTTTTCATTTTGTTTTATTATGGTATACTGCGCTACGCTTTATTATGTTACATTGTGTTATATGTTGCCGAGGATTTTGAAACTGTATTTTCTGTGGTTTCTGATTTGATTTTGTATATTCAATCTGAGAAAATATAAGAATATCACATAACTCTGAGTAAGTTTGTTTGGAGAAAATTTTAAAAGGAAAACACAGTCGGTGATGTTGGTACACACCTGTCATTTCAGTTCTCAGAGGTTGAGGCAGGGGGATTGTTGTAATTTTGAGGTCATCTGGGGTTAAAAGGGAAGATCAAGTCCAGCTTCAACTGTTTAGCAAAACCCAATCTCAAAAAAAGAATGAAAGAGTAAAAGAAAGAAAGAAAGAAAAGAAGAAAAAAATTAAAAAGTTTAAAAATACAAAGTCAAATATCACCTGTGAATTCAGAATAAAAACATATGTGAGTTTTTCTTGCAAATGTACTTTAGTCAGCACACCTAGCATAAGGTTTACCATCATGTAGACATTGATGTGCTGCCAGGTTTGCATTATTTCAGTTCTTTGAATATTTTACAGAGATGACTGCAGATATGCTACTGAATATACTTTCTTAGGATTTGTGTAGCTCAGTGTGAAGAGAATGTGATCATTGCTTTTTTTCCTCTCCTAAATTTATATTTAGAATCAGAAGTTGATCAAGGGATTAGTATTTTTTGAAATAATAATAAGGACCATATAAAAGATACTCTTTTAAGTCTATGGAAAATAAAAATAATTGTAGAATAAGAGTGGTTAATGTACCTTGCACAGTGATTTCTAGGATTACTTAATGATCAATAATTTCATACATATGTAAAATTTTGTTTTTAAACATTTTAAGACATAGTCTTAGCAGTTTTCTGAGTTTCCCATGCTAGGGTTAAACCCTTCAGCATCCTTCTTCACGCTGTCAGAGGGCTGGGATTACAGGTGTACATTATTCTGAGTCGGCAATTGGCAAACAATTTTGCATATTCGTGGAATAAAATATTTGACTTTGATCTTTAGACTTTGTAGAAAGAATCCATCTAGTTAAGCTATCTACCACCTTCCTAATTTGCAGTTTCTTTTACAATGAGTAGGACTGAAAATCCTATTAACAATATTGGTAGGGTCACTGCTTTTTAACTGTAGCTGTGTTCACCATGCGCTTCAGAAGATCACTCCAAATGCCTTCTTCTGAGGGACTGAGGCTTGGTATCCCTGAAGCACTTTCTCTTTTTCTCTGATCACTCGTGGAAATTGATGATTGGGGTCAAATCCCAAGAAAGATGTGAAGGTTAAAGCTACTTGGGGCACACTGCCCTCCAGACGGCCAGGCCAGGATAAAATATTGTTGCCTTCCCTTCTACTTTCCAAGGTTTTGTTTTGGTTATGGTTTAGGTTTTCCATTCAGTTTCTAGAGATTGAATACAGAGCTTTTGCATTTAGCTCCATTACATTCCACTTTTTAAAGTCTTCCTTTTGGTCTTTTTTGTTTTTATCCGTACCAGTGATCGAACTCATGATCACCTGCTTGCAAGGCAAGCACTTATGCTGCTGAGCTAAATCCCCAGCCCCAAAAGTCTTCCTTTTTTGAGGAGTTTCTCAATAAGTTGCTAAGTTGGTGAGTCTATCCTTGAATTTATGATGTTCCTGCCTCAGACTTCCAGATTGATATCATTACAAGACACACCACCAGACATATTTTCATCCTGGTGTTATTAAAAACTCACTGGCTGATCAAGAAATGGGTGAAAATACCTGCAATGTCAGCATTCAGGATGCTGAAGCAGCAGGATTACTGGGAGTTCCAGACAAGACTGCAACAAACTCTGATTTCAGCTCAGGGTAGATTGACAGATCGAGAACCTGAAAAGAAAAAGAAAGGGAAAATATAGGAAAGGACAGGAATGCATTGAAGAAACAAATTCAAATTCCTGCTGACTCTATGAGTTGGTTTGTCTCTGGGCTAGTCATTTTCATCTGTGATCCTATTCTTTCAGTATAAGACCCTTTTGACTGCTGTCACTTTATAATATATTTGGAAACCAGGTATTTTGTGCTTCTACATTTAATGTTCTTTAAATGGCTAGAGGATGACACTTTGTACTTCCTTGTGAATTTTCATTTTTTTGTTTTGATTTCTAGGAAAATATCAGTGGTATTTTGACAGGAATGCTTTGAAAGGGCTGGTTGATCTGGGTAGCATGTACATTATCACAACATGAATTCTTCCCATCCACCATCATGATATGTGTTTTCTTCTGTTATTGCTATTGTACTGCTTGCATCTTGCTTGCAAATTTTAAAGAACATGTGAGTTTGGTTAAATTTTTCCTGAGCATTCTTTTTGATGAATTATGAAATGAATTGTATTCTTTGTATTTGAGGTTGCAGTTTGTTTGAAGCACAGAGATATGAATTGTTTAGACATGTGGATCTTGTACCCTGCACCTTATGTGATTTTTGAATTTGTTCTAAAAGGTTTTCAGTGGAAATATAAAATGAAAGGATAATATGAAAGGTTGTGTCCTCAGGAAACAGAAACAGTGCTTAATTCTTCCTTTCTGGTTTGGAAGACTTCATTTCTTATTATTGAGTAAATTCTAGGGCTAGAACTTGGAGTACTGTGTTGAAAGTTGCTGCAAGCCTTGTCTGGTTCCTGATCTGAGAAGAAAATCTTGCATCTTGTCAGCCTCTGAGCACGATGTCAGGGATGGGCATCTCATGTATCATCTTTGCTGTGCTGAGGTCCATTCTTCCTATACATGGTGTGTGAGTAGTTCTTACCATGACAAAATGTTGAACTTCAGAATTTCTCAAAGCTATTTTTCCCAATCTATTGAAAGGTTAGCTCTGTCTCATTCTGTGAAAGTGGCAAGTGATGCTCAATGGTTTTTATAGTGGGATGGTAGTTGCATCACTGAGATTGAGCCGATTGTTGATCATGGTGCTTAAATTTTGCATGTGCTTGAAAATTTATCTGACAAGCATTTAGCTGAATAATCTTGCTTATGTTCATTAGGAATATTGATCAGTAGGGTGTTTTCAATTGTTTTTATTTTATTTTTCAATACATTATTGTCTGGCTTCATTCTCAGGGTGACTTTGTCATCTAAAAGAAGTTGGTGTTGGTTCTTTCCCTTCAATTTCTAGGAAGAATCCAAAAGTGATTGCTATTTATTCTTTATTATATACTTGAAAAAATTCACTGAGTCATTTATCTTATCATGGGTTTTTTTGTTGTTATTAATGAGTTTTGATTGTTGACACATTGCCTATATTCATTTTTGCTGTATTCATCAGTGTGTTTGTTCCTGATGGATGTGGGTCAGTGACACCAAAGGAAACCACATTCCCATTAAGGGTCACATCTCATTTTAACTTAGGGATGCAGCCATTTCCTTTTGTATCTTCCAACTAATCCTACAGTATATATTTTTGGCAGTAACTCCTTTCAGTTACTTAGACTTTTAATGCACAATGTTCTTGTTGGGTGGTTACTGCTGAAGGAAACTGGAGCTGATCGGGTGCTCATCTCTTATTTCAGGCTTCACAAAATGACCTGCCTGCAGTGCCCCCACCCCCTAACCTGCTCCGTGTAAACACCTGTCCTGCTCCACAGCTGTGGTGCATCCACATGTGGAAATTGAGATCTGCACCTGGATGGAAGACATTCCTTCAGTATTGGCTGTGTAACACACTGACCTTTTCATATTGTGCTTCCCTGAGTGAGTCAGGGGGCCTCAGGCCTACAGGGAGGAGTTCTGGAAGCAGGGTCATTCCAGCCCTCTTCTGTCCAGTGTGCAGTGTATGCTGCTTTGCTGAGAAGCTGCCTTGTGGATCAGGAGGCCTGGACCTCAGGATTTCTTGCCCCTGGTGCCAAGGTGTCCTCTACATCTGCCTGGCCCATTTTCCCCTGACATAAGATCTCCACAGAGATCTGAGCACCCCTGGACTTCCTCTTCAAGGCTCCAACTCAATGCGTAGACTTCAGGTTTGAAATCTGTGACTATGACATTCAACATGTATACATTTAACCTGGAAAATGTACTGCTAAGTCTTCATTATAAAAAGTGAGATTGAAAGACACCTGTATTCTTTATTTACTCAGTTAAGGTGTGAAAAATTAGAAACCATGAACGTAGCACACAGCAAAACTACTAAGTGAATTATAAACTTACAGGCACAGAAAATGCTGAAAGAAGGCCATGTTCTAGGCCATGTCCCCAGTCTTACTTGAGATGACAGAAAGCTTATGGCTTGGCCCTCTCTCCATCCAGCAGTGAAGAGACACAGGCCCTCACAGCAGGCAATGACAGGAGAGAGGAGCTGGTGGATGGCAGACCACTCATCCTAATGGCCCTGATAGGTACATTGTGATCCCCTCTCACACAGCTGAGACCTGGCTCTCTTCCTACCCAGCCTTGTACTCTGTGCTGCCCCCCCCCACACACACACCTTGGGAAGAGGTGGCATCTCTCTTTGGTTTAAGTAAGTTGTCTCAGGTGACATTTTTTTCAAGTAAGGGAAAATGCCATTTCCACCTTTATATGGACCTTGCTCTGCTTCTCCCACCCTTCTTCTGTCTTCCGAGCCTGCTAATGACAAGCCCATGGAGGACTCTGCTACTGGAGAACTATTTGTATGCCATTATATGCTCTCTTATTACAAATGACAGATTTAGAAAAAGAAAAAAAGAAAATCTTGGCATATTTATCTATGTCACCAGGTTTGTGTTAGTTTCCTGTGCCACTTCCCCACCCAACAATGACATTGTATGATAAAGGAATTTGAGAGTAAAACCAAGAAGAGCATTCACATTTCCAGTGCTTTGCAGCTCCATTCATTAAGTGATGGGCAAGTCTCCCAGGCTCTGCCTCACTCTGCCTCTGTCCTTCTGGTTGTCTCATGCACATCTCTGTGTGTATGCACATTGATGGCAGAGATATTTCATTGTAAAACTGAGATCTTTCACACACAAATCCATCTTGCATCAATGGTAATTTCATGATCAGATTCCTTGGCCTCTTCCTCTTTGGGCCCAGAGATACTGAGCTCAGCTTCCCTGAAGCTTTCCCTGCTTTCTGTGGCCTACACTGGTGCCCTACACTCTCTATTTGCAAGGTAGGGAGGGTCCTAGTTCCTTCCTGTTCTAAAAGTGCTGTGAACAACAATCTTGAAAAAAAAGTTAAAATGTTATACAGATTTTTCTTTATTTTTTTGTGTTGTTGTTGTGCAGCTCTCTGTGTGGGAGAAACTTCTATGATTAGCTCAGAGAGGTCCAGGGACCCTGTGTAGAGCTCTGATGGGACCTGAGGGAAATGGTTCTGCTTACCCCACCCCATTTTCTCCCCACTGCTCTTCCCCACTTACCTTAAAACCTGAAGTCAGATGGGGACACAGCATCACTCAGTGACATGGCCCTGAATGTATCTTCAGTGGGATACTGTGCATTTTGTACATTTGTTGGCCATATGAGGAGATTCCCTTTTGCATTGCAAGTATTTGTCTCTTACCTCACAAAACAAATGGAAAAGCAATTCCAACCTCAAAGATGAATGTAATTGAGTTTTATTTATAAACTGGGATCTATTTGGGACTGTCTCCTTTAATAAAGAAAAATACCAGTTAGTCTCTTCCATTAATGCTTGGCCAAATAGAGCTGTGATGCACTGATGTGAAAACCTAGAGTACTACATCACAGAGGCAGAAAGATCAGTGGTGGCTGGGGCTGGCAGGGAAGAGAGGGAACTGTGTCCAAATGGGAATGAAGTTGTGGGAAATGTTCTGGAACTGGGCAAAACTGAAGATTGTTCATATTGAGAATGTGTGCATGCCACTGCACTGAGTATGCTAATTAAAGTGAATGACATCCTATCATTTGTTTTAGATTAATTTATGCCATAATATTTAAAAGGAGTATAGAGGTAAGGGCAAGAAAATGGAAAAAATAGTGGAGGAGATGGGAAACTCAAGTTTTCAGCAGGAGCTGGCCTCAAGGGAGTTGAGGACCTGCCACCTGCTGTGGAGACCCTGTTAGTCATATCTCTGAGCTGACAGATGGGCTTCGTGGTGCTGGCTCTTCCCGTG